CGGTTCAACGTATCAAATAAAAATATCCATTGGCAGCAGTTGGATTAACACCGAGCGGATAGTTTGAGAATCCGAGTGTTCCTTTCACATTTTGACCATGATTTGTGACAGTCAAAAAGGTAGTAACAAGAGCCATTGAACCTGGAGTTGTATTACCAAGTACCGGAAGATTATAATTAAGAACTTGAAGCTTAACTTTATTTCTTTCACAACAACTCCATTTTCCAATCGAGGCAGTAAACGGTAGAGATGCGAGTTTGCTTCCTGAAGCAATACCACTTTGTGTACTATCAATTGCTACAATTGTATGGTCCTCTTGAAGAACAAAAGCTCCATAGGCGTATTGACCACCGCCAAGGGATATTTTTATTTGATACGTTGAACCGGCACAGATACTACAGTCATGTTTGTCGATGATACCGCTACTTACGACTGGCAGAAGCAAGATCATGAGTACTAGTTGGATCATTTTTTTTTCTTTTATTTAAATGAAACAAGTAGAATCTAAAACATGATTTTGAATACAAATGGATTTAATTGATTGTTGGAACACTAGATGATGGGTTTGTGTCGAATATATGATCAAGTGCTTTCACAGATAATATCCACAACACGCTTCATTTTTGGCAAGCACTCAAGTAAGAAACAAACTCTTGCTTGAATGTCCAAAAGTGCTATTCTGCAAGTACTTGGGAATTATTACAGCTAACTAACTTGCAGAGAAAGTACAGCTGTTTTGGACATTATGTGATGTTCGTACTTGTCCAAGTACTTAATAGAATCAGAGCTAATACTACACAAAGTTAGTGGCAATAATTGGCGATATAAAAAGTCGCTCGATACTAATGCTTTAAAAAACCTTCTGAAGAAAGAACACTTTCGAAATACATACATTTGTTCGTTGTATTCGTGCAAAATCTAATGTATACACAACCAGAATAATAATTTAATTTACCAACGTTGTTTGATGCACAAAATAAAAAGCATTCTGTTGATTATATATACATCACGAAATACGGTTTGTTGTGCATTCAACCATATACGCCAAAATAATACGAAAAGATCGTCATTTGATGTTTTTTTGTTTTCATAAGAATCTTATCATGGTTTTGCCTATTGTCTCATGTATTGTCCAATCAGCTTATTGAAAAACGATAAAAGGTAAATCGAATATTCGTAAATATGACTCATTCCCTCTTATTCTAATCTCAATTATGCGCAATTTATTTTCTCTCTCTCTTTTCTTTTTTGTGTAGATAGTATTTTTCTTCTATTAATACATCTACTGTAACAAACTAGAAGGTCGGCCTTGGTTAATGATAAAAGAAAAGAAAAAATATTCGTAAACATATAGACAATACAATGGTTGCATTTGGCTCTTTTTTAACCATCTCACACAATACACAAAACATTATGGCGTCACTAGTAATACTTTCTCGATTATTACGAGAATCCTGATATAGACGGTAGAACGATTCTAATTTAGGACAGGCTCAAAATTATTTTTCCAACAATGATGAAAGGACAACATTAAGCGTGAAAAGGAATTTTTTTAGTTTCGTGATCACAAATTTCATTAAAGAGAAGTTTATGCATTTGTCCATTTCCACGTTTATAAACTGATGAAAAATTCTACTGTATTATGAAAATTTTTAATAAGTGATCGACAGAAGCATAAAAAGGTTAAACATTGGCTAAGGCAAATAAAAAGAATCATAAATAAAAAAAACTACTATTGAAGAGCAACACAAGCTTTTCAATTCTGATTTTTTCAAATAAAATCAAAGCAGATGCTCTTCGAATCCAATTGATCGAATTTTTCCTTGTGAATATGAGAAATAACGACATGATTAAACCGTTGTTGTGTCATTGTTGATCTTAGAAATGTCTTTATTCTATTCATAATACTGAAAAATCTTTCAGCCGTAGCTGTTGTAAGAGGATCTTTTAAATAGAAATATAATAATGTGCAATATACATGAAATATAATTTTTTCAACCGATTGTACATTGAATAAATCGCAAATAGTTTGAATTTCTGAAATTTTTTTGAAAGCCAAATTATTTTCTAAGTTAATAACTCAAAAATAATCAGATAACATATTCATAGTGGAAATATGATTTGCGATCAGTAAAATAAATAATATAGTCAGTAAAGGACATAATTATAAAATCAGCAATGTAAATGATTGATCAGTGAATTACTTCAATGATCAGTTATTAATTAATTTGGTTTGTAAAAAAATTTAAAACTCAATAAATATAGTTTATTTACAATCGATTATATTAAAGGATCAGTCTAAAAATTGGAATGGGTATAGAGAAAATCACGTTGTTTTTTTTCTTTTTTGCTTTCTCTCCATCAGTTCTGTATATATTATCTTGCTCTTAACCTAGTTCTTTTAATTTACATTTTTTTTGAATCAGAAGAATCATTTTTTTAATTCTTCTAATTATTGATTATCTAAAACAAAGAAAAGAAACTTCTCGACTTCTTACCTGGTCGTTGTCTTTATGTACATTGAAAAGTAGAAAACAATTTATAGATATTCAAAACAAGTATTCTAATATCGTCAATAGACATTCATCGATAAATTTCTGCTTTCTTGAGAATATGATATTTAAGGAAATCAAAATAAGAAATTCGATTTTCTATTTAAGAAATCGAGAATGGAATTGTATAGGTAGTTCTGAAAATTTGCATAGAATTTATCAATTCGAGTATTTTCCAAAAAAGTGAAAATGAGTTTTTGTTTTATATTTAAGTTTCTTTGATTTATTTTAACTTACATTCATATTATATAAAATAAACAAAAATAAAATGAAAATGCTACAAACTAGTAAAATAACAAGATATTGAAAAACTATTAACAATAAAAACAAAAAAAAGCTAATGTTTAACAAAATTGTAAAACTACACAAGAAAAATAAATCCAATATATTGACTAGTATAATTTTAGAAGTTGTAGATTACGAACAATTCTACTTACAAATAAACATATTTTTAAGTGTTTCATGGTCCAATCTATGTTCATTTAAGAGTTTTTTGTTGCCAATGACAAAGAAAATGATCCTTTTTATGAATAATAAACTAGACAGGATCTCCAATGTAAATCTTACTTTTGTTGATTATTCTATATTGAATATTTCATAGGATCCAACTAAACTAATAACCATAGTTGCAACTTTTGAATTTCTCGTATTAAATGTGTTATACATATCAAACGGTCAAAAACAATTTTCTAAAAGTGTAACACGTAAGATTGATATCGTTAGAAAGAGCGCGAAAAATTGAGTATTATGCTAGAATATGAGCGCGGGGTATGGTGTAGTCTCAAGCAAATTTTTTTAAAACAAGATTCCCTGCAAGAAGAACTTTTTTGTCTTTCTTTAGGTTTTTTCATTCTTCCGCAAATACATACATATATATATATACGTGTGTGTGTGTGTGTGTGTTATTGCGAACGAAAGAACGAAAGAAAAAGTTTCTGTACATATATAGAGAAAAATGCGTAGTATTCTTCAAGTTGAAAATTCATAATTGAGCAATTATTTAAAGATTTAATTATATAATAAAAGTTTTATTAATTCTAAGAATCAAAATAAGTTTTAAAAACAATTTTCTAGGCAACTAAAACAGTTTCTATTATCTGGAACGTTCTTTTGCTTAATTCATATATTCAAAAATCTTTTTTTTTTAATTTCTTTCTTGAAAATCGCATGAATATATGACATTTAATTCAATTAGGTAGAAGGAGCTTCACTTTTTTTCAAGCTCAATCGACCGGTTCGTTGTCCGCCATATCCCCATTCAATTTGATCAAAAAAAGAATCTCAAGTCAATAAGAGATAAAACATTTCACCGCAGAGTGGGCTTTGAACGGTATGTTCTCAGTGAATAAAAATAGATTATTCGGATTCAGCGTGGTCAATTACTTCTGTCCCCGTTGAGATCTCAAGAGGATACTTGTGACCGTAAGCCCGTAAAAATGTTAACAAAATTCGATCAAAAAACATGTATGTACAGAACAGAAAAAAGTTAACTGCTTCGCACTGGATTCGAACCAGCGTCGCGTTATCCACGCTCTTTAGCCACTCGGCTATATGCAAATTATTCTTATCTGGTCTGTCTCGTATGTTGTTCTTGTTTTCTTGTTCAACTTTAATTCCATTGAGTCGATGCTCAAATACAATATCATCACCTATCATCATAAGATAGGATCTTCTAACTTATACACATATATTCCATTGAATCAAATTTCTCAATACACCAATGTCTGTTGATATCAAGAAAAAATCGATATCATAACTTTGAATAATAATTACATTTTTGGCTTTTATGTTGATTCTTTTTTTTTCTTCGAAAAAG